CCCAGAACCAGTCTGGCGTGTCCTTGGTTTATTTTCTTTCCAGATCCGAAATGGAGGGGGTAGGAGATGGCCCGGGTGGAGGGGGCTGGGAATGGCCCCTGGATATGCCGTGCCCAGGTCACTTGGTGTGACATTTCAAACCCTTGCGACTTGTTTTCTTGAAAACTGACTTTCGTGATCGCAGGAAATAACCTAGAGATACTGAATCTCCAGCAGGCCCCCGGGCAAGCACACACACACAAAACGGTAGGCTCAGGTTTTACCCTTTACAAATATTTAACCCTTTGGCAGCCTAGGACAATTCTTTCCGGAGACCAGCCCTCACTTGATGGACTCAGGCAGTTGCCAGACTACCTACCAGCCAGTATCTCTGGCGTTGAGTTTCCATTTCCTTGTCCATAGAGTTGAATGACGCACAGTGCCTCCTTCTTTGTACAGGGGTTGTTGTGAAAGAGGGCCACGCCCTAACTAAATGGTGGACAGTTGCCATCCTAGCTTAGGTAAAAGCTAGTAAGGAAAAATGTGCCTAAGGGGCAGCTGCAGTCGTTGGATAGAGAGGAATAGGTGCCTTGTGTTAGAGAACCTTAAATTTAAGTGTACCTGGCCAGAGGCCACTGTGGGTTTTTCAGCAGAACTTTTGGCAGGATGTCTGCACACATACTCATCCACTCCCCCAGCCCAAATGGAGATGGAAGGCTTGCTGGCAATTATTGAAAGAAAATGGGAAGAGGTGGGAAAATTGAACCACGTTTATATCTTATTTCCTGAAAGCCAAGGTGATGCTAGCACAAATATTAAAAAGAACATTCCCCTTCTTTGGGATTTAGGAAATAGTGCTGCAAACTTAGAGATAAGGGAAGAGATATGCAGGGTTAATGAGGAACAGCTTTACCTCTCAAGTGCCCAGAAACGGTTTTAATAATCAGGGTTAGGTTCTTTGAGGCTTCATTCCCTTAACTTAGACCATTCCATCCCATGCAGAAATACAGATTTCTTCTTTAACCTCCTGACTGGCTATTGGACCAGGGACTAAACTTCCAATAAATCTTAATTTTGAAAACTTTTGATTTATTGGGTTTTCTTTTTTTGTTAAAAAGGAAACAGCAGGTTATTGAATAAAGAATTTCATTAGTCATTGTTAATTAGCTCTGAATTTTTGCTTTTGACAGGCTGCAGTATTTTAATGCTGTGAATTGAAATATCTACCTATTTAATTTCAATTATCTTTTCTCTCATCATCCATAGATCATAAACCTAATTCCTCTTTACAATATTTATATGAGCATTTTTTTTCAAATATTGGGAAACTACCCAGTTAAAGTGGTTACTGCATATTAAGATGCCTGTATCTCTCTTTATTACTGTGTCAAACATCATAAACTTTTTCTMTTGTTACTAGCCACCCAAAGGGTGCATTGTTTTCCTTGCTGGTTTCCAGGAAAAGGGTTCATTCTATAGCCTTCTTACAATGGTTTCCTGGTGAGGTGTCCGAGATCTATGGTTGGTTAGTWACCTCAATAAATATCAGTTTTACTGGTTCCCAGATCATCTTTAAACATCCTCTGTAATACAGTAGGGATTTCCCGGTAAATTAAATTACCTGTAACAATTACAAGTGTTGTATTTTATGCAACTGAACTTTTAACATGAGATACCCACTTGAGTAGTAAAAACTCAATTCAAGAAGAGACACCATAGATGGAAAATTGGAGTGAGTTATTTAGCTAGATATATTTCAGAATAAGATTTTCTCAGAAGATTTATCTAATAATTTGAGTAGCTCTATGAAATTGAGGCAGAAAAGGGATTCCCAGAGATGGAAAAGTTTATGGCACACAATTTAATACATATTGAAAGACTGCATAATTCTGGGAAATTCAGTCCCTGTGGCAGTATTCCCAATGAACTTTAATATTTAATGGGTGTGGAACAGAAATCAGCCTTTCAGTTTTGAATATAGAATATTGTAAATCTCGATTTTGTCAGAACTGCAAAGATGGTTTAAATAAGGCATTGTTTAAGATTGGTCATTAGAAAATTTGAGATTCTGCCTCTGCTGCCTAGGGAAGGGTTTAAACTGCCACATATTTAGTAAGCCTGTTTTCCCATGTGAGTGTTCACCAGAAGACAGCAAGAGAATTAGTTGAATAGCACCATGCTAGAAAGAGAAAACAATGGATGAATAATTATTTGCAGAGAAGTAAATTCCCAATGGAGTTGTGATAAAAGCAGGAAATTCAGAGTTTATTAAGCTGATGGAGGGAAGATTAGAGGCTTTTAAATGTGGGTCTGATTGATGTAAAGGTAAACTTTGTTGAAAATACTGAGATGAAGTGCAATAATGAGGATTGTTTGACCAATTACAGAGTAGCACCTTGTTGATGGAGACTGTGCATAGAAGAAGATGCAGATAAATAGAGCTAGATTGAGTATAGTAATGGCAGCAGGAAAGGGCATAAGAAAATAACTCCATTGAGATCCAGATGTGGGGAGTGGGGAGCAGCTCAAATTATAAAGCACTTGGGGCCCCAGCRTCAAAGTTTCCAAAAGGCGGGAGTGCTTGGTGAGTGCAGCTTTGGGCCACAGGGAGAGTGGGTCAGGGAGTGAGCACAGAGAGGAGCAGGAAGGTTGAGAGTTTCCTTGAAGCAGGGTATTTGAGTGAAGGTGCGGTTTGAAGATTGGAGACCCCAGGGCTGGGTGTCGAGAGAGAAGCAGAAAGCGAAGGGAAAGAATAGGGAGAGTGAGGAGTGATTTCCCAGATTGAGACTTTGAGACTTCCCAAGAGCATGACAAGGAGACTTGGAAGACATGACCCAGGTGGTTTTYCCAGCTGCTCTGGGGAAGGTAGAAGGTGTCTAGGGGAGGAGAAGGTGAGGACCTAGGTCAACGAGGGCCGGTTCGGGATTCGAGGTCACAGCTCTCGCTACTGCCAGTAACTGCAGGGCGGGAGAGGCTCCGGAACCAGGCAGGAAGCGGCAGCTCTAACATCCTGGTGTGTGTGTGTGTGTGTGTGTGTGTGTGTGTGTGTATACACACGTGTGCGCCTGTTTGTGTGTGTGTGTGGGGGGGGGGGGGGGGGGGGGGGGGGGGGGGGGGGGGAGGACAAGCCCTGCTAAGCTCCGGGAGAAGCGAGTTGCGGTCCGGAGCAGGAAATACGGTTGGGCCACTGCGTTGAGCGTTCAAATGTTGCTGCTCCCCAGAGCCTTGGGCAGCTTTTTCCGATTTGACTCAAATTCTGGGCTCTAACCCCCCCCCCCAAAGTTGTTGCTTTTGCCTCAGTTGTACCCAGTTCGACCAACTTTCCAGGCTGGGTGGATCCAGCAGAGATCTTTCGCCTTGGCCCAGTGTTGTTCGCTTGTGACCCCCGAGCCTCGGGAAATSCCGGAGGCGGTCCCTGTCCCAGGAGAAATCCTGTGGTGGCACCGGCAAATTGGAACAAGATGTGCCCGCATTCACCTGGGCGTCGCGCTCTTCCATCTCGGGAGAGTTTAGAAGGCATAAACCCCGGGGGAGTTGGAGCTTAAATCCCGCTGGCTCGTCCCCGCGCACATTAAAGAAGGAATTGGAGACCTCCTGAAACTCGGAGACGGGAGGCACCAAGAGCCCTCGCAGGGTCCCCGCGGGGTGGGGCCGGGGTTTCTCTCTCAAACCCTCGCCCGCTCCGGGATGAGGGGCAAGGAGAGCATTCAATTAAATGTTGAATTGTGAATTCTGGTATGGTTTCTGGGAGGTTAATCACAGCTGTCTCAATTATTTATGGCTTTTTGGCAAATTTCCCGCCAGATAAGAAGTATATTCTATTGGGGAGCGTCTTGCAGGAAATCTTATAAATACTTGATGATTCATTTCAGCTACAAGGATCCCGTGCCCAGGCCCGAGAGCGCTGGGCCGGCGGGATTCGGAAACTCCTCTCCAGGTAGGGAAGCCGGCGGCGGCTGTGGGTCTGGGGAGAAGCCTTCGGTGACACCTGCCTCCGCCCCCTCCGCCGCGCTAGAGCTGGAGAAGGCCGGGGTCTGGCCTCGGCCTCCGGTGCTCGGTCCTGCCGCGCGGCGAGAGGCGATTCTGAGCGCCCCCCGACTGGCGGCGGCAGTCCTGGGACCGGCGCTCCGCGGCTGTGGCGCCACCCAAGTGGAGGGGCCTCTCGAAGGCCGGGATTTGGCCCTGACGCCCCCGACCTGGAGTCGAAACTTGCGGGCTGGTGGCACAGACTAGGTCAAGGCCCTGAAAACGTGAGGGTCCTGCGGCGGCGGCGGCGGCGGCGGCGGCGGCTGAGCGCCCAGAGCACGGGCAGGACTTGCCTCCCCCGCCCCCGCTTTTAAAAAATTGGACCTCTTTATTTTCTCTGGATTTATAAAGTAAAAACAGCGTATTCATAACTTGGCAGATCTGTGAGGGTCCAAAAAGAAGTGTCTTGAATATTAAGTAGGTAAGCTTGCTTCTAAAAAAGGTGAAATTTATGTATTTTCAAGCCCGACTCCCCCCGCCCCCCAATAGTGTTGCGTTTAATCGTTTTTTTTTTTTGATCAGTTTTTTTCAACGAGATCTTTTTTCTTGGTAATGTTTGATTCTTATCTGACAGAAATTATTACTCACGTCACTCAACGAAGGCTTAGCACTGACCATTGGCTTTAGGTGGAGAAACCAAGAGAAYGCATAGGAAAAGGTCAGCACCTCCCAGGTCCAGCCGTGAGCGGGGCACAGTAGTCTAAAACTTATTCAGTGCCATTGTGACCCTCTGTTTTACTTCTGCTTCGGTGTGGCTTCACTTCACAGTTATTTGAGAAAATACTCAAGGGTGATTGATGCTTTCAGGGCACTAAATTTTATTCAGAATAATTTCAGTTAAGCAATACTAACCGAGATCCTAGGTATTTTCTGCCAGAAAAGCTTGGGCAGACCAATTAATACAACGCTCCGAATTCACTTCAAATACACCCCAAACAATGCAAGTAGAATGTAAAAGTTGTAAACATCTTTGCTCTGAACCTTAAAAAGGAAAATTTAGAGCTGGTAAACTTTGATTAAATCTTTAAGATAACTTAAGAGCTGGAATTAACACTTTTATTTCAAAYTTGTATTTTCTTAAGACAAAAAGTCAACACTGAAAACAGAATAAGTTATTTTATTACAAGAACAAAACTGACTTGCTAATTTTGTATCTAATTTTGCCCATATTACAAATGAAAATTATGTATTATCATAGGATGGAAGTTAAACACACTCCAAAATATTGTGTATAAATGAAATAAACTTGCAAAATTAGGAAGAATATTAAAGTATCTACAGTTATTATAAATAGTGCAAAGTATATACCATATCTACACTGTAGAGGGAGAGTATAAACACATGAGAAGGAGTTTTTTAAGGAACGTTTGTTTGAACAATTTAAAATATTAACAGGGTACTCAAACACAGAACCAAACAAAACATTTATTTTTTCTCTTTTTTCAAGAAAAACTGTCGAGCTTCTTCCCAGGCCTGCTGAGGAAATCTGTTAGCCAGCTCAAGATAGTCTTGGGAACCAAGACATTTTCCTGATAGGAAGAGAAAAAGATTAAATTAAATTAAGATAAAATTAAAAGAGATTAAATTTAAAATATTTCTTTGCAGTTTAAGAAATTAGACCTATTTTAATGAGTACAACACAGACATCACTTCAAATAAACCATTATACATTTTATGTGAATAAAGTGACTGATCAAYCTCTATACCCACCTATCTACAGTATAAAATATATTTTAACTACAGTCCAGTTTGTGCTTCCAGAATATTGAGACATTAACCCATATGTAAAACACTATGGAAAAATTTGGTTTTGGACTCCAGAATTAAGAAAATAACTATGGAAAGTAAGTACATGAATGAAATAAAATTTCATATATTCTATCTTTAAATTAGTCTTGAAAGGGCAAATCTGCATATAAATGGTTGATTTTTTTTTTTTTTTTTGGTACTGGGAAGAGAACCCAGGGACTTATACATGCTAGGCGAGAGCTCACACCCCCCAGCCCAAATGATAATATTTGTTTTAAAAAAACACATGAATTTAGTTTAATATAAGTTTAAAATTGTCCGAATTTGGAATTCARTTGCCTCCCTAACAGAGAAGAGGGAATGGTTAAGAGCCTCACTGGCCAGCGAYATAGGTAAAGCAAATAATCTCACAGCCAGGCAGTGGGCATAAAAGCTAAATGCTTTCTCGGCATTGAGAATGTGGAGCTCCCAGGAATTACTTTTATACTCAAGAGTTTTATCTGTGCAATGAACTCAAAATGTAAGCAAAAAGAGAACAGATGTTCTGTCCATGATACAAACTAGATAGGTGGAAGAATTTTTTTTTTTAATCAAGTAAGCATAATATGAGCTGTCRTTAAGGTAGTGTTGACTCTTTCAGAAGAAAGCATAGACCAACTGCTTATTTGCTGTTCTGTGAGTCAAGTCTGCTGTAACTGGGGAAAGCATGAATAACCACGGAAGATGGTCCTTTGGAAAAGAAAGAAGGTCGAGACTTCCATAGGTCTCAGCCCACTAAGCAGATGGAGGCAGCTCCTGGGGACTGCACTTTCCAGATATGCTACAAATGGTGATTCATCTTTTTTGGGCAGGCGAAAAAGTAAGAAAAGAATATTTATATGTCTTACTGGCAAATACATAAATAAATAAAAATTCTGTACGATCAAAAATAACTTTATTAGAGGACTTTTCTAAGTATTTTCATATATTCAAAAATTTAAAAATTGTTTTGTAAGAAATAGTAAGAAGTTATACAGATTTTCCCCAATAGCTTAAAAAAAAAAAAGGCTGTGACTGAGTCAGGGCAGAACTGAACTTGCACACTAATTCTGGCTTAGGCAAATGGTACTGATTATAATGTTGACTTGCATTTCTGAAGAGCTGCATAGCTTTCTGTTTACTGAGTACCTGAGTCAACAACATATGGCATTTTTTCCTAATATTGTAACAGTTTTAGTTATATTTTCTCCTATGTACATTATAATACCTGCCCACTGTAGATTACGTGTGTATGTGCGTGTGACAGAGCTCAAGGTTTCTCCAAGGGATTCTGAGTGGACACTTCAGAGGGTGCTATTGGGACGCAGACATCTGGATGAACACTTTAAATATTGTCAAACTAATGGAAGAATTGGTGAAAATCTTGACTAGGGTTCTTATTGACTGGAGATGCTACTGTGACAGCCAAAGACCAAATTGTATTTATCAATTACAGTCTGGGTGACAGAATATTTAAAAATAAAAAATGCAGTTTAAAATTCTAAATCTTTGAGTCTGGTCACAGGAAACTCTCAGTGAGAACACAGGGGTAAAAAAGTGCATAAATCTTTGGCCCTTGGATACTGCTAATTTAATGGCTTTTCTCCAGGGAAAACAATAGTTGTCCATTAAAAAGTCCAAGTACTTGAATTTAGGGGGGCAATATGGGCTCCTATCATTAATAACTTTATTCTTAACATGGGTAGAGAACCAAACCTATGTAATTCCAGCATTCATGTGAGCAATATAGGCCAATGTTAATGATATGATTATCTTCTGTATTTCAAAGTGGCTCTTTAGTGATTATTCACCATTTAGTATATTTGCCTGAGGTAAGAACACAAAGATGTTTTGTGCTTTTCTTTTACTTCCATAGATTTCTCTGCACATTATACTGCCCTTGGGTTTTATGACAAAATTGATTTCTTTACTCAGAGAAATATTTGGTATGTAAACCTCAAGTATTTAAGGTGAGGTACTAAATTAAATCTTTTTTAACAATTCCAGAAAAGAGGGTGCAAACATGTTCTTTTGGCTAACACATGAAATTTAGTTTCAACGTACCTTTGGGCTGGTAAGACTGGTTATCTGTCTGACCTGGAGCCTGTGCAAAATCCTGTGTGAAAAGAGAAGTGTTTTTATACAAAAACCTTGAGTAGAGAGTTTCACTAAGGGAGGTTTAAATATACTTCTGATTCATGCAACCACTTTCACATGCATAATCTGGAACCCAAACATAAAGGCTAAAGAAAGTGATGTTACATAGTCCAGGTTCTCATAAATTTTAACCAAATAGTGATGACTTAAATCTTGTTAAATACTACCAGGATCCAGGTTGTTGCTTACTTTGGAAACTACAACTTTATACCTAGTAAACCTAAAATTTAAGCCAAAATTACCATTTTAAGCTACTGACCAATTTTTAAAGACTCTTTTTAAAAAGTACAAATATAGCTGGGTGTGGGTGTGCAAACCTGTAATCTCAGAGACTCAGGAGGCTCAGGCTGGAGGACTGAAAGTTTGAGGTCAATATCAGCAACTTAGTGAATCTCCATCTCAAAATAAAAAAATAAAAAGGACTGGTAAGGTAGCTCAGTGGTTGAGCGCTGCAGGTTCAATCCCCAGTAATACAAAAAATAAAAACAAACAAAAAACCAAAAACCAACCAACCAACAAAAACAAATATAACAACACTTATAGATGTTCTGCAGCTTTTTTTTTTTTTTTCAAGTTATGGGGATTGAACCTAGGATCCAATTAATGCACACTGGGTAAGTAGTCTATCACTGAGCTAAATCTCTTACCAACTTAAGMTTTTTGTTTTGAGGTAGGGCCTCACAAAGTTGCTTAGGCTGGCCTCAAATGTCATCCTCCTGCCTCAGCCTTTCTAGTAGCTGGATTATAGGTATGTGCAACTGTGCATGGCTTCAGCTAAATATTAAAGTCTGGTATTTTTACTTTTAGATAGAAAGTGAATAATGTAGATTGCAATATGTAAATCTTCTGAAATCTGCAATAAAGCATCAGTTCCTATTTTTTTTTTTTGTCTTTAGTTGTCAATGGACCTTTATTTTATTTATTTATATGTGGTGCTGAGAATCGAACCCAGTGCCTCACACATGGTAGGCAAATGCTCTACCATTGAGYCACAACCCCAGCCCCTGAAGAACCATTTTATAAACTACAATCCAATGTACTGTCATTCTCCTGAACATATTTATAGAAAAAAACTTGATTTAACTTCACTAGTTTAATATGATACACAAATAAGCAATATGTGAAATTTTTATAGATCTGCAAAAATTTTATGTTAAATATGGATTTTTTGGAATAGAGAAAAGGATATTTAGAAGTACTTTGTAATCAATATCATATAAAATGGAAAAACACATGACCTTTACTTTAGATTCTGATATCATTTGTACTTTTATAAGTTGTTTTTTAAGCACTTAAAAGTGTGAGTGGCACAGGTGGCACAGATGCACAACTGTCTTTCTTCAATATCACTTTTTGGTTGAGGCTTCTGTTTTCATGCCACTAGAAGCCGCATATCACCTTCTTGCAGTCCCTGGCCCTGTTCCCACCTTATTGTTCTCTATAGCACTTACCATCATTGACATACTATGTGTTTGTTTGTTAGTTCATTTATTTATTTATATTCAAAGTAATATCTTTGAAGGGAGGAGCTTTAATTTTTTTTTTTTTTTTGGTGTTGCTGTAGTCCCAGTGCCTAAAGCAGTGCCCAGCCACAGTACACATGCAAAAGTTACCTGCTAAATACAAGAATGAATAATCTGAATGGAAAGATGACACTTAAAAAATTCTCTACAATGTATCTTTATTTAACTTAATCCTAAAGCACTAAGAATATATGAAGAATTCTCTGTTGATATGATGGTTAAATAAGTTTTTTTTTGGTTACTGGGAATTGATGCCAGGAGCGTTCTACCACTGAGCTACCTCATGAGCCCTTATTATTTTTCATTTTGAGACAGAGTCTTGCTAAGTTGCTGAGGCTCATCTAGAACTTGTGAACCTCCTACTTCAGTTTCCTGAGTCTCTGGGATTGTAGACATGCACCACTGTGTCTGCCTGTACTGTAAGATTTTAACTTATGCATAAGACAGTTTGAAAATCCAACATGTATATCTGAATGTCTAACTTGGAAACATTTTCAGAAAATGGAACCCAGAGTGAAATGTAATAAGCTGAAAATAAGACATTTATAAATGTAATTTAGTTGTTTTTATTAATTGTGATCTAATAGAGGGTAGTTTAGAAAATGTAAACTACTAATCATTATCTAAGGTAAAGAAGGGTTGGGGAACTCATTAGTCATCCTTTATGGTTCCCAAGCAGCTGGGCACTATCACGCTCTTTCCACAGTGGTCAATGTATATTAGCTAGAATAAGGAACAATATACTACAACAGAATTCTGCTTTCTGTTTCACTATTATGTAAAACGGAAAGCAATGTCTTCTAATCATATACGTATCAAGGAGCAAAAACAATGATTTTATAATGGAACATCTGAAAGATAATGGGATATTTTCAGAAAATAAAGATGTACAATGACACAAAAATCAGTTATTAGCTAATGTTAAAAGAACAGCCATGGGCTGGGATTGTGGCTCAGCGGTAGACCGCTCAACTAGCACGTGCGAGGCCCTGGGTTCGYTCCTCAGCACCACAAAAAAATAAATAAACAAAATAAAGGTATTGTGTCCAACTACTTCTAAAAAATAAATATTTTTTAAAAAGATTAAAAAAACAAAGAACAGTCACCTTGATATCTCTGTTGTCAGTTGACTTGAGTTAATTTAGATATGGCAGTTATTATTTTGCTACAGCACTAATTCTACAGCACCRTAAGGCTGTACTTAGTTTTAGATTAAAAAAAAAAATGCAGGGGCTGAGGGTGTGGGCTCAGCAGTAGAGCGCTCACCTAGCATGTGCGAGGTCCTGGATTAGATCCTCAGCACCACATAAAAATAAATAAATAAAATAAAGGTGTTGTGTACAACTACCACTAAAAAATAAATATTAAAAAAAKGCAACATAACAGGCTTTTATCTGCCCCTCTTGGAATGCACATTTGTGAGAATCACATTTTAAAAATTACAAATAAACCAAAGTTGTAATCGTTTTTCCTTTAGCAATTGTTACCTGTTCCCTGTATCTAGACTTAGAGCAAGATGAATACAACAGTCAAAGCTGTGAAGAAGTCTATGGTCTTTTATATACATTTTGTAAATATGGGTTTCCATTTCACTAGTGGCAAAAACATCCTTTCCTTGCAGTTCTCCATGAAAAAATTAAATAATTTTTAACAACCCTAGTTCTATTACTGAGATTTTAGAAACTATCCTGATATTTAAGAAATCAATTTTTAAGTACAGAAACTGGTGAAGTTTTTCAAAGACAGTAAGGAGGAAAGAACAGTTGATTCACTTTTACTTTTCAGTTGCAGTAAATTTACACACAAAGCTAGAGAGTTCAGCATAATGTAGGAGGTACCTGAATGAATGTGGCCAGTAAAACACAGCTCATCTCTTGCTCCAGAATGATCTTGTTCTGAAGGTTGTTGTAACAAGCAGCAATAAGCGAAGGGAACAGCACTTTGATCAGCCGTGGGTCACTGAAATATTGGAAGGGCAACTGGCAGAGCTTCTGCAGCACTGTGGGGTGGCGGCCAGACTGCACGATTACCTGCGACAGAGGAGGAGCTCAGGTCCACAGCCAAGAGCCCCAGTAACACACCCCTCACTTCCCCCTCCATCTATGCAGTCAGAACATACTGAGAGAGTGTAAAACAAAAGGTTCCTAACTCCTTAACAGAGCTTAAGTTGAGTGATATTTTAAGTGATATTTGAAGAGAGCAGAAAATTTAAAATCTCATTTCCTAATTTGAGGAAAAGATTCCAAAAGCTTTGTAGCTATATAAAAATTACTGTAACCCATGATGAAGGGTGCAGTTTCCATGGAGAGAGGATGCCTATGAAATGCATTCAGTATACTCGCTGCTTTAACAAAGCACTCCCCGCCCCTTGAAAGCATAGAAGCCCCATTCCTTAAAAACCTGCAAAGAGCTCGCTCACAAGTAGTAAGATACTCTCTCCTGTGCCCTCCCCACTTCCGTCGTCTTCCCTTAGTCTAGCTCACTGGATATACCAAATGCAGACAGAGGCAAAAAAGAAAGAAAGAGAGAGAGAGAGAGAGAGAGAGAGAGAGAGAGAGAGAGAGAGAGAGAATGAATAGGGGATCAACTAGAAGGGGAATAAGCTCAGCAAGCTCAGGCTCCAAAAAATCCTCTAACCCATACTTCTTATCTTTGTTCCCATCAGTGCCACTGAATCTAAAAGGAGAATTGTTTACATAAATGAGACTGTTGTCTTGAAACAGTCTAGGTTTACAACTGTGTACATTTTAAGAAATAGGGCAAGGCAATTAATGGGCTTGCAGGGAAGCCCTCCTGATTCATTCCCTCAGCCTACATGATAAACTAAGAAATGTCAAAATCAGATCTGTTTCAAGTAACTCTGATTAGACAGTTCTAATATGAAAGAGCTGGGTGACCCAAAGCCCACTTCATGGTACAGGAGGAAACTCCGAGAAGGTTAGGAACACTGTAAAATGTAAGGTCAGGACTGTAAATTGTACTTGGAAAAACACAATTTTACAGGTACACACCCAGACAGGACTGCATTCAAATTAAAACCAGAAGGACAGAATGAAACAGCAGAGGCAGGAGAAACATAAATTATAGGGATTTACAAGTTTTCAAAGTACTTTTAACAATACTTTAAGAACATACTCTTAGATGATAATGCAGTTTGGTTTAAGAACAAAATCAACAAAGTAATAGTTCACATATTTTTGTTCAATAGCTAAAATGACATCAAAAACCTTTAGAGAATGTTGATAGGGACTTGTTAATACCTTCAAATCCGAAAGGAATTTTAAAGACTTGCATTATGTGACAATTCCACACATGGCTGTGTGCTGCCATGTCTGATGTGGCTGAGAAAAGTATGCCCTATCATTTAGTTTATTGATAATGCATTTACTTAAGTTTTATTTTAATTATTAGATACATATTTTATAACACAGCCAAATGGTTGCCACTTTAGAATTTATAATGATACCATTATTAGAAGTCTTAATTCCTCTTTGGACAAAAATTAAGAATGCTTTTTTTTCTTTGAAATGCTAAATGCTATCATTGGATGATTTGATAACTGAAAAGATATTAAACTGGCCAATCTGGCTGGCACTGGCACAATGATAACTCCATGACATCAACTGCTGGTTCTTGGTAAATTAGCAGAGAACGTCAGAGATTCACCAGAACTTACTTCACTTGGCCTCCTGAAGCAGAGGGCAGGACTAATTATCTGTTGCCAGAATACAGAGTGAATTTAAAGATATCAACAGCAGTACAGTGAGATGACCTCCCAGAGACCACTATTTTTAAGCCTCCGGATTGTAGAATACACAAATGAATGTAGGCAGTTTCGTTACCTTGGAGCTAAGAAGTTCTACTCATAGGACCACCATATGACAGAACCAGGTTACATGTAAGGAATCTATAGGGCTGGGAAGACCTCCACCTTTCCTGGGCTTGGCGGTGAGCCAGAGTGGAACATCTAGTTGGTAATGTCGTTTGAATCACATTTCAGACATTGCGGGAGGGATGGAATCAGGAGGTCCAGGAATGGGCTAAGCTATAGCACTGAGATGTGGTGGGCTAATTCATGTGGGCTTGTGGCAGAGGGGTGGCAGGTGGATGTCATGGGCATGAACATTCAACTGAATTAGGCTAAGCACTTCCCTTTGGGGCAGGGAAGCAAGTCTAGGAATGCAAACATCCTGAGTTTGATGCTCTAGGCTTTAACCCCTAAGAAAGAGTTGCCCGAGGGGCTTTTGAAAGATTGGGCTGGAGGATGAGGGAAGAATGTCTCCATTTTGTGTGGAGTACATTGGAGCATTCCTCAAGGCTTCCCTGGAGCCATTCTTGTTCATTTACTGAAGAAAAAAGCATAGATAATACAGGTTCTTCTTTTGGTCTTCTAAGAAGAGACAAGTCATAATTTCTAATTTCGCAGTCTCCAAAGAAGGACATCTTTTATCTAAATGCCCTGTGGACCACCAATTTTTTTCTCTTGTATCACTGGTGAGGGGCTGTAGGAATGGGTGGAGGAGGGAGAGACAAACCCATGACTAATACTTCTTTTTTAGAATTAGTAATAATTCTGGAAGTAGTAGCTTTAGAAAAAGGAAAGCTGGAGCTGGCACATGTCATGCTCCTATAATCTCAGTGACTTGAAAAAAGAAAGCTGCATACTGGCCATGCGTGCTATAACCTGGTGGAAAGACAGGGCCAGGAGGACTGACTGCCAAGAAGGAAAAGGAATCTGGTTTAAAAAAAAAAGAGAGAGAGAAAGAAAGAAAGAAAAAGGAGAGGAATCTGAGTAGACAAGTGGGCATGCTGATTCTTTCATCTGCTGCTGACCTTGGCCACCCACTAGGCCTCTGGCTCCAACCAGGGAGGACTAACTTCAGCAGACATTTACTGAATGTCTCCAGTGCTAAGTGCCAGACTAATATTATAGAGACACAAAGGGAATAAAGAAAGTTTCTTCCCTAAACACATGAATGAAGATGCGATATGATAGGAAGGATCAGGCTTTAACTCTCAGGGAGATGAGTTGTGTACACAAGTGACAATAATAAAAGGAGGCTGGGAAGGCTAAGGGAGTCCCATGGGGGCCTCTTGGGACAAAGAGATTGCTCTTACCTAGGTGAATGAGGAAGGCTGCACTGAACATTAAAGGTTGGATCAGATTTGGGCACCTGGAAATCCTAAGTGGAAAACCCTCAAACATTCAATACTAGACTGTTAGTTGGCTTGACCTGCCATAACAAAGTAACATAGACTAGGGGGCTGAAATTAATTTCCCACAGCTCTGGAGCTGGAAGTCTGAAGTGAGGGTGTTAGCATGATCAGGTTCTGGGGAGGGCCCACTTCCTGGCTTATGGATGGTTGCCTTTTTACCATGTGCTCAAATGACCTTTTCTCAGTACCACTGGTTTATCCTTATGACCTCATTTATCCTTAACTAAATCCTAAAAGCCCTATCCAAATACAGTCACACTAGATTCTAGGGCTTTAATAAATGAATTTTGGGAGAACACATTCAGTTCATAGTGCAGCTCTGACTCATTTCTTATCACCACCCAGAAGGGGRTTTTATTAGCAAGGTGCCATGACTAACTAGATGCCTTTCAGAGTCCAGGGGCTTTTCCTGGGTCACTGGCTCTCAGTGGYTGTAGGGCATGAACCTACAGGCTCAAGAGTGCTGACCTTTGGTGAGGGCTCTCAGTCTGGCTCTGTTCTGACACGCTATGGTCACTTAACATTTGAGCCTCAAGATCCTTCTATAAAAACAGGTAGATGCAGCCTTTAAAGTTTAGGTGAGGATCTAATGAGACAATGTTTGTGACCACAAAGTACAAACCAATGTTAGTTATGAATATTTGGTTGGCTCACTAGTTCTGCTATTCTGARTCTGATCCTCATGTATTAGGACTACATGTCTCCTCCCAGTATAAGGCCTAATGAATGAAGACTTTCCATCATCCTACCCCATCCCTCTTTAGAGTAGAGGGGCTGGCAGAGACAGGCCCTCCTCTTTGGTTGGGACCTATCAGCAAGCTTCATGACACCTGAAATGTCATYGCTAAGATCTCTCCCTGGCCCTGCCTGCACAGGAAAGAGCTATGCAAACAGTGCTGGGGATGACAGCCAGGATCTTGTGGTGGCAAAGTAGGAAATGCATTCTGACAGCTCTGAAAAGAAAATCCCAACATAAGCACCATCCAAGAAATACAGGTAATGATACAGAGAAACAAAGGCTTAACTTACTGTGTGTGCATGTTTTGAGGCTGTTGTGCTACATTTGTCAATCTGAAAACAGCAGGTAGAGCCAAAGCTAATAGGCTGGTGTTGTGGGCTCCTGATTCAGACCCAGAATGAAATTTCCCTTGAAGTACTTAATGAAATCCTGAAGCCCAGAAGTCTTCCTAGACATCATAGCCAAGCACAGCCTTTCGTTTACAACTCAAAGATATGGTGGCAGACACCACGTATCTAAGTGAATGTAGTTTAATCCCCAGTTCCAAGAGGGCAGAAACTGTCCTCTGCTGCTCTGCTAGAGGGCTAGGCACAGAGCAAATCCTCAAACATAYGTAAATGAATGAAGTAAAGTGACAGAGAACCCTTGGTTAAAACACTCCTTGTAGGTGAATCATATCATTTTTTTCTCATGAGGCACAGATGTCATTTTCTGACTTGGAGGCCTCCATGGTATCTACATTCTGTTGCCTCAGGTATGTATAGCCAGTTCATAAAGAATGGATTTTGTGAGATGCTGTCTCCTTCTCTAGAGGGAATTTGGGATTGGGATCCTCAGGGTCCTGGGCACCAACTCAGAAATCCCTGTGTAGGTTAAAAGGAGAGGTCCAGAAAAGACCTTCATTCTTTTGTGGGTGTGACACTGATATCATGTGGTATGAAGGAACTTAAAGTCTTCTAGACTATTTCACTGACAGAATCTCAGCAGTAGACAACACAGCAGAAATCCCATAGAGTACTCAGGAGGCTCCTCTACATATATCATCTGAGTTGCTAAACTCTGAGATGGGTAAAA